GCACCTGGTCTTTCTAGGTGGTCTCCCATCCAAGTACTAACCAGGCCCGACCCTGCTTAGCTTCCGAGATCAGACAAGATCAGGCAGGGTGGCATGGCCGTAGACAGACAGACTTCCACCATATTTTAATGGAATAGTAAAGAACAGACACTAAATAAGCAAGGTTTTGAGATACCTTCTCTTTAGTGATTTTCTGAAGCAATTTTAATGACAATCTGAAGAGAATGGTAATAATTGCTTAATAGATTAGAACACTCTTATTCTTCCCAAATTTTAAGTTTTCTCTGATTAATACCAGCAATGAAGCATTTGTGAAAGCTTTATTACCTCCTGTTTGGAAGAATTCTTTTCTGCTGTAAGGTACACAGCATTCAAGGCTATTGATAACCCCAGGAGTTCTTTTCAAACAGTAAGCAGTGATATTCGAAGAACTCTTTACAATCACTCCCCCAAATTTTTCTGTGGTGGCGTGAGTGGGAATCATTCTCTTTTAAGTTGTTATTTGATTTTTAAAATAAATTGCACTAGTTGCCCATTAAGAAAAGCAGCACTCTTGAGTTTTTTCGTTTGGCTAGTGTGCCTTTGGTGTAAGGCAAGAGTTCAAAGAAAGATGGGACAAGAACAGTGACATACTCTGCTTGATTCATTATTGAACATGAGTTATGCCTCAGGCTTTTAAAAATGAATCTCTCCAACTTATCCCCATAGTTGGTATTATTCCTTTAATGAGAGCGTATTGATGGTTGTGATAAATATAACCCAGTTCTCTTCTTGGAATTCTAGTATTTGATTGCTCACTGACACTGACACAGAGGGTTATAGATAAAATCTTAGGACCATTATTCTCATTCCTTTTAAAATTTTGATGTAAACTCTTTTAAAAATAATATATTTAAATGATAACTTTTTATCCATTTCTGAAGCTTGACTCTCATTAGAAAAAGATTTTAATTTAAAAACAGCTTTAAGCCAGAGGGTGATTTTGAAAACTGAATAAAATCATATTCATTTTATATTTCAGAACATGTAAAAATAAATCATTTATATGTATAAATCACACATATCATCTGTCCGACCAGTTATATTTTCAAAGTCCCCTGTCTTTCTATTTGATTTTTTACCAAATTGAGCTTTAGGATTTCTTTTCCCACATGACTAAAAGTCACTAAGGTTAAGTAGCCACTGTGAATTAGCAGCTTCAAGGCTTATCATCTTGCAGTCTTCCTGTTCCTAAAAGATCCCACTGATTTTATAATTTGCTTTGTGAAAAACCTCAAGTAAGTTTGTGGTATTAGATATCTTGTCACTTTGGGAAGAAATAGAGTGTTTTAGTAAAGACAGTGGCACATTTCAAATAAGAATATGCTGTTTAAATATAATGATACATTTTATAATTTTCAGGTCATTTTCAGTCAACAAAAGAATAAGTCCCTAAACTTACTTATTAAACTGGCAACATTGATTGCTTGTGTCTGCTAAAACTCAAGTCTGCTTCTTTCTTTCTCTTCGAAGTACAGTTTTCTTCTGCATGCATTTTTTTCTAACATCTAATAAAATTTTTTTTTTTAAATGCACAGTTTACTTTGCATGATTTTTGAAATTTGCTTTTATACAAATATTTAAACCATGTTTATTATTAGTATGTTAAATTGGGGAAATAGATTCCTCCATATAATGATTTATTAAGAATGTTTCAATAATGGAATGTAGAAATGTATATTTTAGTACAGTTATCATATTGTTTTTTACCTGTCAGGAAAGCACACTGGCCTGGTGTGATCTGATTTGAATGAAAGGTTACTAATGACTATAATTTGGAGGTCAAGAGAAAAAGTGAGATACTTCTGCCCAATGCTGTGTGTAGTGAATGTTTTTGACATGTTGAGAAAGTAATTTTTGATTACTCTATAAAAAATCCTACTTATATTTTATATTGATAATTTTTTTTGGTTAAATACATTTGGGTCTTTGGATTTTTTTTCAGGCACAAATAGTTTTAACTGGACCCAGAATTTTAACATTATAAAAGCATTGAAATGTTTTGTGGTCTTTATTGCCAAAGAATTTCTCAGTAAATATGTTTGTTGTAATATTATATATCATGGGGAAAAGTATAATTTTTTTCCCATAATAATTACTGTAATCCTCAAAATTGGGGTCTTTGGAAAAATAAATGTATGCTTTTTAGTCAAAAGATTTTCATAATGTGTTTTCCTTTCTTTTGACTCTTAGAAATTTGTAAGAAATGCCAGTTAGTATTTACTAAAGTTTTCTTTTGGTGTAGTTTTTCTAAAGCAAAAACCCTTGTAACTAATTCCTCAGGCGTTTTTAAAGCTCAGAATGCCGGCTACTCCACTACTACCATAGAAAGCACTTAGCATGCGGGAGAAGTTCGAGTCTCATTTGACTGCTACTGCTTCAGCTAATTGATTTTCCCCACCTTGCTACTATAGTGATTATAAGCAGTTCTGCAGTATGTTGTCTCAATTAATAAAGAAAAGTAGAATTCTTTCTAAAAGACAGAAGAATAAGTTTTTAATTTGCACCATGTAAGTCTCCTTTGCTTCCCAAAGACTGTCTCTCTCCTCAATTCATAGCTGTAAATGTAGGAGATTTTCAGTTTTTCAGATATTTAAACTCTTTTTCTAGTGTATCTCAGTCACTGGGAGTGGGGTTAAGGAAAATCAGTTTCTCAAGATAACCCAGTGATGGGTAGTTTAGAAACGTGTTCTTTCCAGGATGCTCTGAGAGCCCCTTCCAATTTTGACTTATTAGAGTGAACAATCTTAAGCCTTAAAAAATTTTTGTTTTATTTATGTATTTACCAGCTTCATTCTTAGTGCTAGATAACATAAGAAAAATTACAGGAATTTATTAATGTGCTGTGGAAATCCAAACCCAGGGCTTTAAAATGCAACAGGGCTGTAATTGATGATAGAATTTTTACAGATGCCTTTTATTTTTATTTTTATTTTTTTATGGCAAAGATGTCCTCTTATTTATTTTACTCATACAAAAATGTTTTTTAAAAACAATTTTAATGAATATTTTGACCAAGATATGTTACCGTACATTACATACATTAATCATGTCTTTTTTTTTCTAGGCAGCACAAATAGTGCTTATTTCTCTGTTTGAACTGAACACTCCTGAATTTACCATGTTACTTGGTGCCTTGCCAAAAACATTCCAGGATGGTGCCACCAAACTCCTGCATAACCACCTCAAGAATTCCAGTAACACCAGTGTGGTAAGTGCTTTGGTCACGATGGGTCCCTCTGTACTGATGATGGCCTCTGCGTGTCCCTTCTGGAACTTGCTCTAATAAAATAGCCAGCTTTCTTGTTCCCTTTTAGGAGATTGTGGGTCTACATGAGGCCATGTTTGATCCTGCTGTATTTACAATGAATGACTGAATCTAATATTTAAATATGGCCTTTTTTCTTAAGTTAGGTTGTTCAGTCAGTTCAGTTTTTACATTTAGTCATTTATTTATTGACTTACTTATTTTTTCTTCATATTGTAGAGATGCAAATGCTCAATTGTGTCTGTTACTCCAGCACAACTGGCATCGGTCATTCAGTTTCGGGAATGCCTATGTAACAGTTAACCGTTTTTTGGTTTAACATGCACTTAAAATTGGCCATAACCGATTCAGAAAAAAAATGACCCCAATTGTGCAAATTCTCCCTATTTATTTACACGTGGGTTAAAAGGCCAAGGGAAAAGTAGACCATATTCTGTATTTAGCCCTTGAGTAATGATGCTTATTCTGCCTTTACTCCAGGGCTCTCCAAGCAATACAATTGGCCGGACTCCCTCCAGACACACCAGCAGCAGGACCAGCCCCCTGACCTCACCCACCAACTGTTCCCATGGGGGCCTGTCTCCAAGGTAATGCCTTTCAACAGAAGTGAAGAAACTAAAGCACCCCAATGTCAGTTTAGCCTGTTTTTATATTTTTAGACCAAGCTTAATACCAAAAAGTTGTATGAGTGTTAGGAGACTAAGGGTTCCAGTCTCCACCCAGATCTTAACTGTATAGTCAGTCTTGGGCAGAGCAGTTAACTTCTACAGTGAGATGAGTGGTTTGCACTGAATGTTCTCTGAGATTCTTCTAGCTCTAAACACTTTCTAGTGCTTTAAAGATTTTAGAACTAAAAGTTCCATTTAGTTCTATATCATATAGAAACCATTTAGAAGCTCATCACTTACTCTGTAAGTGATAGGAGCACGTGAAGAAGATATGTAGTCATCTAAATAAACTCTTTATTACATGTCCACACAGTCTGGAGTAGTTTTCTAACCAAGTGGCCATTCCAAGCATAGTCACTATCATCATTGGCTCATGTTTAAAGCAGAATGCTGCTCTGGAGGAGGGAGTAAGAACCTGAGAACTAAAATTAGATCAGCATTTTCAGATTCGTGTGAACAATGGCCTTAAGGAGTGTGAGGCAGTGACTGAAAAGCAGAAAATGTTTTGTCTTGGGATCTTTAGTTAACACTTCGTCATCTGGCCAGAGCCTTAGGCAGTCTCTACATGGTGGCCTTCATGACATCACCCTGGCATGCGTTGGAATCCCCTGTGGTCTCAAAGTAATGGCCCTGTAAGCCAGACTTTTTAGGCAACAGCCAGTGCCTGAACCTGTAAGGGTCATACATACTGTGCTGTCCACAAAAGTCCAGATTTTTGGGGTCATTAACAACAAGAAGCAAGAAGCTAGCTCTTAAGGGTTGCTGACACCAAGATCTTAAAATTATAAGAAAATACTGCAAGTAAGCCATTTTCCCTTAAATGGTTACTTCTTTAGTGGAAAGATAATCAAAATGTAAGTGCCTTTAAATCTCGATTTTTAAATGACAAGGAGTCTCTCAGATTCCTCTGTCTTTACCACTGAATTTCTCTTCAGTTCCTCAGATTATCATGTAAATATTTTGGGATGTGTCAATTTTGCATTTTTCTCTTGGTTAAACAAAATATCTTGTATACGTATAGTATCCTACTGTTTATTGCCTTAGATTTAATCACTCTAAGCCTCCCCGCCCCCATACTATATTTAAGTAGAATGAAGTATGATGTTATGTCTCCAGATTTGGTCTGTATTGTCATGATTCAGCAGACTATTCTAATTCGACAAGTGAGACCAGAAACCAATAAAAATATGTCTGACTTTCCCCAGGTATAACTGAAGCTCAGCCAACAAATTTTTTTAGTGTTAACATCTGTATCTAAGTACATAGTTTGTCTTAAATGACCACAGTCCAGTGTTGAAAGTAAAATCATAGAGTTCTCTTTCTTGGTTGGGGGAGAATTTTATGGAGAACTTGTATTCTCTGTAAATTGTTGCTTTTGTGAGATACTTTGTAACATTAATTGGGAAATCTCTTCTTTCATAACACAGTTCGTACTTCCTTTAGTTATTTCGTTATTAGGGTGGCACATTCTTCAGGTAACAAGCAAAAGGTAAAACTCAAATTTTTTTTATATGTGCTGATAATCTAAGTTAAAGATTGGTGGGAGCTGCTAATATAATTAATCAGAGCTAAGAATTGGCTAGGTATTAATCTCATGGATCCCCAAATTATTAAAAATTTTAATTTATTTTCCAGGTCACCATTCATTCTTAATTGGCCTGATTTTAAATTTTATTATTAGGGTTACAGGTCAGTGGAAGAAATGAAGAGATTTATTTTCAATATTAAAAAGTCCAAGGGACTAAATATTTTTTTGTTAAAAAATTCTTCTTTAGGCAATTATATCATTTCTTTCTTTTTTAAAAAAACATTATGCCTTCAGTCAGTGCATAACTAGCTAGATGGCCTTATAGCCAACTTGAATTTAATAGGAGAAATGATTTTTCTCATAACTAAAAATGTCCAGAAGTAGGAAAAACTGCCTCATATCACATCACTGGAAATATTCAAATAGGCTGCATACTTTCTACCAGGAATACTGTAAAAGCAACGAACTCTTGCACTAACTAGGAGAACGGGCCAGGTTACCGCATTGTAAGGAGACGGTGATGAGTTCTACCATGTATAATCGCCACTATTTTCCTGAGCAGTGCTCTTGAAACATTTATTTTATCTGACCTGTCATCTTGACCGTATGATACTAGCTTTTCATTCTTTATTACCAATGATTTGTTTTTAATCTAATTTGAGTACTGAAATGAACTAGTATTTTTTTTTTTTTTTTGGTCCAAAAATTCTACACTCAGATCATAGTGGCAATAAGGAAATATCCTAAAATGATGAAGGAAATCTGCATTTCGGTAGTTTTTTTTTTAAATCATTAATGAGGAACTCATTTTTATCAAACCCATTAGTATTAGAGAAGCCATAGCTAACAGGTTAAACTTTCTGTGTGAGAGAAGAATTACTGCCTATTCCCAGCTAGTAAACAGATACTACTGGAGATTTGGAAAGGAAATATATGACCTATAGTTTTTCATCATTAAACACATTTATATTTTAGCTTATTTTACCCAGTGTGATTTATAAAAAAACAGAGTTGCAACAAACTTGAGAAATCGCATGAAATCCATTCCCTTTAATATATGGCAGTCCTCACTCTGGGGCTCGGCAAACATGTTGTAGAGCAGAATGGCACTAACTACATAACCTCTCTTACCCTAGCAGTAAAAGGTAATTTTAGGTAGATTTTACAGTCATCCCATCAGAGGACGCTATCAATAGAATCAACGTGGGGATTACCTGGAAGACCTAGCCTCTCACAGGGACGTGGCAGTGTGCCTGCTTTATTCTCTCCTTGTTAGCAGAGCTCCAGCCCGAGGTGGTCGCCTTTATTTCTCTTTTACCCACACTCCCAACTCAGTGTATGACTTAGGCCCTTCTATGCTGTAGTGACCTCTTATATCCACATTTTTATTTTCCGTATAAAATGGACCATAACTGTCCTCAGATGGAGACTAGCTTTGTACCTACTGCTCTTAGAACTACAGTGAATGCCAGCGGCAGGCAGTGCAGCTCTGTAAGAACACTGTCTCTGATACCACACTGTACCCAATGGCCACATGTCACATTTCCAACAAGTCCAGCTCACCCCTTTCCCAATGGTTTTTTAAGATTGGAACAGTTGCTAGAACTCTCTGTCAGGGCTTCTGCAAGTCCAGATAACTTAGCGATATTTGTGAAGAGGAATACCCGTGTTCTCAGATGAATTTTAATTTTAATATTAGGTGACATAAGTAAAGGAATTAGATTTTCAGTTTCCCTCTCTCTGAGCTGGCCAGCTGAGGGTTGGTGCCCTCCCTCTGGTGGTGCTGGTGTTCTTTCAGAAGGAAATCACCTGTGGCAGCCTCTGACCTCCATATGATCAGATCCCAGCCTCGGAGCACGCGGACTGCTCTGGTCAGAGTGTCACATTCTCTGATTCTTCCTGCTACAGTCCTTTTGGTTCCATTTGAATTAAGGCTCACAATACCTTCTTTGGTTCTTTCTAAAATAATGGATTGCATTATCTGAAACCGAACATTCCTATTTTTTTATGAGTGCTTATAATGTCCTTCTTAGTGCGTGCGCGCGCGCGCACACACACACACGTGTGCACGCTTCATGCTTATACTTGGAATCTCATGTGATTTAAAAATGTAAATGCATGATTGAGAGGGAAAGGAATAAAGCAGTCTGATCGAAGACCAAATTATAAAACAAAATTTGTTCTTTTTCTCGGTATGGTGAAGTATTTATTTTGCTAGAACTTTGTCAAGGAAAAAGGAGACTTTGAAACACTTAGAGTATAGCGTCTTCCTCTCACCTGTCTCCTCCCTTTCCCTTTGCCTTTTTTTTGTTTCTCTTTCTGATTTTCCTCTTCTGATCACTACAGTCGGTTATGGGGTTGGAGTGCCGATGGGCTATCGAAACACCCACCTCCCTTTTCTCAGCCTAACTCCATTCCCACCGCTCCCTCCCACAAGACTCTCAGGCGCTCTTACTCTCCCAGGTAACAAGCTACCTGTTAAACTTGTCTGAGGTGTCACAATATTATTGCATTTCCAAGGTCGTCTCAGGTCTTTTGGAAAGCCTCTCAGCTGCCTCCAGTGTGGTCCCTGCTTTGGCTTAGACTAGCAGGAGGAGAGCCTTGGTGAGAAGTGTGAGCTGGTGTGTGACCTTTGTCAAACCTTATGAGTACGGTTCCTGCCATGTCACAAGGACAGATGACCATTTCATCAACTGACCAAATTCATCAACATCTGTTATTATGAGCCTTTTGGCCCAGTGCAGTTCTCAGCCCCTAGAAGGTGCTCAGGCAGTGCTGTGAAATCAAGGCAGGCAGCAGCGAGCACAGTTTCCTTAGCATTCTTCTTAGGTGCACAAGGCATTTCTACTAAGAGGCAGATGACACCTGCTCTTCCTAAACTGCATCTGTAGCTCTCAGTCCTTCTAGTGATTGTATGGACTGGCTTCTTTCATAATGAACTGTCACCTGGTGATAGTCTCAGGACACGGATCCAGAAAGGAGACCCCGAGAAGGGCATTCAGTAAAGGTGCCCTGCCTCCACGTAGGAGAGCTATCGGTACCCTCATAAGCCCCTGCTTTAATGTGACAGTGTGAATGAGTCTAGAAGAAAGGGGTGGGGCTTCTTTCAGGTGGTAAATCTGTAGTACAGAGTGGGGTCCACATGTTCCTACAGCTACCTGTTTGAGGGTCTCCTAGGTGCTTTTTATAAAGGTCTGAAGACCAGAGAATCTCTTCTATAGAAGCCTGTAATTAAATGAGCAGAGCAGGGCCAGACCAGTTCTCTCTGTGCTGTGTAAGGGAAGTTTGTACCCTCTGGTATAGAACGAGGGTAAAAATAAAACAAAGTCTTACTTTTGAATGCTTCAGAGATAGCTTTTATACAGAAGATTTACATTCCTACTTTTGTATCCTCAACATAGTGAAGCTCTACATAGTAAACAGGCCGGCTAAATGTTTTAGCAACATCTTTCTTTTGAAGCTCTTACAGCTCTAAAAGTAACTTCTAAAGTATACAGAGAATCCTTGTAATGACTGTTTCTAGATACACAAGGTTAGGGCAAGGGCACACCGACAATGAGATGTCACTGCTGTCGTCAATGTTAATAAAGCATGTTGCTACACTTTTTTTTATTTTTTATTTTAAAAGTTAGGCCACAAAGTATAAGACCAGCTTAATGACTGTCTCCCCGTATACTGATCTGTGTGCCCTAATGGGCACTAAGCTTCACCTTCAGCCAGCCTTCCCATCCAGCCATCAAGACTGTCCTGCAGAGGACATCCAGTTCCCAGAACTATCTTTCGCATATGCACCAAAAATACAGCTGATGCTTAATAAACACCTATAACTTCTGTTAACTACCAGTGGGAGAGGAGATGAGAGACTTTTGCATTTAGAAAACCTATTGGTTACATAAAACTAAGGAAATCTATGTCTGTCTCTTTGCTCTATGCCAAACACCTGTTGATTTCATAATAAAGAACAGTTATCCTTTTTTCCATACCCTAGTATCTTTTCCCTAGAGGATGACAAGAAAATCTTAGAAGGCAAACTTCCTGTCTCCAATTTCTTTTTTCTTGGAGACCCAACGTCATGCATCTCTCCACCCATAATACAGATCCTTTACAACAGGGCAGTTTATAACTTTATTCTACTTCAGTATTGGGTAACATGGCCTGGCCTTAGGTCAGTGAGTATTGACCGATTGAGCAACTTTTCCTAATCTAAAGAATCCTAAGGAAACCTTTCTGGGGTCTAATTGCAGTGTTTGCAGGTGACCAGAGCCTGGCCTTTAACCTAAAGGATTGTGTCCTGGGGTTGTCTCTGACCTGAAACAAGACAGTGTGGGGCAGGTGACAGACTGGGATCTCTTCCAAGCAAAGCTGCTGCATTTCTCTTGCTGCTTCCTTATTGTGCGGCTCGTTGGGACCACAATGTCTACGATTACCCGATGACAGCATTCATGAGAATTTCCTTTTTCTCTATGAAATGAGGACTCGTAGATTTGGAAAAAAGGACTGTTGATTTGAAAAAAGACAAATCAATCCAAAGCATAAAATAGCAAAGTATCACGGTTTCCTGTTAGAGGAAAACAATGATCTCTCTCACCTGGAGCTCACGGTTTTCGCTTCATACCAAGGAGATAATTCAGACCTCAAGCTAGTGAGTCTAAAAGAAGTGTCACCACAGCCTGTACCTGGGTATGCACACATACTTCTAAATTGGAAGTCTGAGTTGGTTTTTTAATTGAAGTAAGAGGAGGAACATTAACTGGCAGAATCCTTTATTTTCCTATTTTAAAAAGAGGCTACTATATGCTAAAGTTATGTGACCCGAAATGAAATGTTTTAAGAAAGTTCATGCTGAGAAAAATGAGATGAATTATCTGAAAGCTAACATTATCTGAAGCGACACGTGAAAAATAATATTGTGACATCCCTTAAAAAGCTGAACGTTCCGCCAGACTTCCTCTTGTCCATCCCGTCATTCTTTTGTATTTTTTTGTTTTTGTTTTTATTTTTGCATGGGCTGTGCTATTATTATTTTTGGTTTTTGTGATTCCAAGTATTTTAAGGCATCTTTTTACATCTTGTATACATATTTTTTGTTTGAGTCATACTTAGTCTTCACATATTAAAAAAAAAAAAATAGTGTACTGGCCAGATGTATAAATGCTTTTGTTCCTATATACCTGGTATTGTGGTGGTCTAGAAAGTGGTGGGGGGCAGGGAGCCCCTGTGCTCCTCAGTCATGCTTCTTCACGTTAAAGAGATGCTCCCTCATAGACAGACAGATAACCTTCTGAACTCAGAAGGGCTTGAAATCTTGAATTCTGTTCAAGTTTTTTATTCCACCTCCTGACAGTATACACATGGAATTTTCACTGTAAACGTGTTCAAGTTCACATTTCTTTTTGTTTGATGCCAGAGCCAATCTTTGAGTTGGCGTGTATTTTTGTGAACAGTCCAAGTACAATTGGGGTGTGTATTTTCTTTCATCAGAAAAGAAAATGATTTCTATCTGGGCCAGTTTTGCAATTTTAGGCAAATAGTTTCCATCTCTAAGAGTGAGTTTAGATTGTGTGCTCTAGCAGAACCTAACCAGCCCTAGAAAACACTTGGATCATTGCTATCTCACGCCATACTGGCTGCTCCAAGTGAAAACTGTCCAAATCTTGTCTTTCTCATCTGCCAAAACCTTTTAAAAAACAGAAGGAGGGGAGAAGGCTTAGTAAGTGTTATTTATTTTTAAGTGATTGCAAACTTAACCTCTATTGACAATGTGCAGGGATGATTGTGTTGTCCTTAGGAAGGGCTCCTGCCAGTGGGTCCTTAATTTCAGTTATTTCTCCTTAGGAGAATAGAAAAAAATTTCCTTTCTTTAGTCCTTAGTAATATTCAATGCTTACTTATATACACAGCCAAGGATTCTTCATTCCTAACAATCCTCAGTATAGCTCAAGACTTTCTGCAAATTAAATTTGACCAACTTATCTGATCTCTTCATGAATACTTCCTTAAAACAAGTGACATCTAAACTAAGTTGTAGTTTTGACTTGCCCTTGTTGACTGTTCCTCCATGTTTTGCTTTCTTTATATTCATGTATCTATCCGTGCTTTTCTTTGATATTCTTAGTGAGGGGTCTTGTCTGTTTCATTACCTTTTCCAGACATCTAAAGGCTGCTTGTTGACACACTGCATTATACCAAAAGGCTAGTTAGGATTTTTGTTTTATTTCACATTTTACTATGCTAAAAGGACAGCAGTTGACATTATTTTTCTGTAAGAGACAAATATATCTTGCTTTTTGAAGCACCTTTAAACATCCAGCTAGGAAAGTGACTCATCTTTATAAGACCTGCTTTTATTATAAAGCTCCAAGTATAGGCACCTAGAAGAGTTTGACATTCCCAACAAGTTTCTGGGGTAGATGACATGAGAGTTAGACTCTCAGGAGCCCATCGGTAAGGTGGACCCGACTGAGTAATAGGGTTGGTTTTTTTAGTTTTTTAACACAGGATTTTATTTACAAGCTTCTGATACTGGTGAACATAACCCAGTCTTGGGGTGATTTGCTTTGCTCCTTTGAAATTTGTAATACTAGCTTTATTTTGAAGTGCCCTTCCTCTTAGTTTAAGTTTGTACATTTGAGACCAGTAACAACCAAAGTACTTTTTTTCCATCTTCAAGATATGAAAGTTATTTTTCCACTTTCATTACCTTGTGCATTCAGTCACCGGTTGTCACTCTTTGAGTTCTTGCATTCTCGTGGTTATTGTTTCCCACTGGTTCTCATTGAGTGCTAATGTAATGTGTTTTGGACCAGATTTGTCAAGGAAGATGTGTAATTGTCCCGTGGTGGTGCTCTAATAAAAGATGTCTCTCTTCTGTTCCAAATCACCTAAAGAAATCAGACTCTAATTATATCTAACTTTGTATATTATTGGAAGTAATTTATGCCCATACCTCGATTTTATGCATATGCCTCAACTTAAGAAAGAAAATATTTTTGATCTTTAGCATGCTGGACTATGATACAGAAAACTTGAACTCTGAAGAAATCTATAGTTCTTTGCGTGGAGTTACAGAAGCCATTGAGAAGTTTAGTTTTCGAAGCCAAGAGGATCTGAATGAACCAATTAAACGAGATGGCAAAAAGGACTGTGATATTGTAAGTATCCCCAGGCTAATAGAGTACTGTATATCAATTAGGTAATAATCACCAATTCTTCTGAACACCGGCCACCATGATCACTGAGCTTCACCATTATTTTAGCCTGTGGTGGAAAGCAGTGTTTTGGAGACACAATGCAATTTCAAGTGACCTTTGCTATCTTTGCAAAGAATGCTAAATACCTTTTTTCTCAGTTTGCTTTCATTCATTCTGGACATATTTTTGTTCCTATGATGTGATAAAGGTAGTAAGCCTGAACCAGATACCAGTGTGGCTCTCTGGGAGCTCTAGACTCCTGCAGAGTCAGGCAGGTAAGCAGGAGAGTGTGGTGCAGTGGGAGTGATTGGGGATCAGCACCGAGACCCGTGGGGCCGTTTTGCTGCTCAGGAAGGATCTGCAAAAGAAATGATTTCTCACCCTCTGAGCAGAAGCATGAGGGTTGTAGTCAGAGGAGGGGTATACCTGTGAGAAGGTGGAGAGATGGGAGTGTCTGTGGTATGATTTCCTACAGGGGGTTGCTGAAGTGGAGAGAGTGAGCTTGTGATGTTTTGGGGAGGTTTGGAGAAGAGGCTGCAGAGGTTGGCTCATGAAGGGCTCACACAACAGGAATTTCCAGCCAATGTCTTGACTTCACCCTAGGGACACCGGAGAGGCTTCGAAGGATTTTTAACCAGGGAAATGGCATGGTCACACTTACATTTTAGAAAGACTTCTGTCACTCAGAGGATTATTCCAAGGAAGTTGGGTTGGGCAGGGAATAAACGGAATTAGAAGAGTCCTAAGTCTCTGATTAAGACTATTGAGTAGGTGCTGGTGCAGTTCAATGAGAGAGTACCATAGAAGGAGGACATACATGCGTGTTAACCTTCTTGGAACATAATGAATTTAGTTTTGAATACATGTGATTTGCAGGATTGGTGGGCTATCCAAGCAAACACATCTAGTAGGCTTTTGGATATACTAGTCTAGAGTGGAGGCTAGAGGTAGAGATTTGAGAGGCATTGCCTAGTTGCTTGATGGTAACTAAAGAAAAATGAGTAAAAGCAACTAGATAAATGGTAAAGACAAAATCTGAAGGAGCACCAACACTAAGAAAAAGACAAGAAAAAGAGTTAGAAGGAAAGCTGAAGACGATAGGAGGGAGACCAAGAGACGGGTGCAGAAGTTGAGGGAAGCTTTCAGGAAGGAGAGTCTCGTCAGAGGAATCGTGCTGCCTGTGGTCGTGACCATGTCAGGTCAGGCATGGAGCACAAAGGCTCCGTTGGATTTTTTTACTTACTATCTACATTAATTCTGTGTTAACCTAAAATACATAAAACCCATATTTCTTCACCATGTTTTACTGTAGAGTCAAGACCTTTTTTTTGAGAATGGGCCCACCATTTGGACTTTTATGTTCTTCTTAAATAAATTTTACACATAGTCACAGTCCACAATTTACAAATTTAGTTTCTTCCAGGAGTCCATTGGATTTTGTGAGCACAGTTCAGAGGAGAGGTGAAAGTGGAAAACAGATCACAGTGGGTTGAGGAGTGACTTGCATAACAGACTGGGTAGCGTCGTGGGGGGGTCATTCAGGGGCTTTTCACATGTGAGAGAACTGACCTGTTTGAGGGCTGATGGGGCCAATTTAGAGAAGAATGTTGGAGTGGATGATTGGTGGACACGAGTCCTTCAGAACATGGGAAGGGGGATGAGGTTTGGGCACTGGTGAAGGGATTGGCCTCAGCCAGAAGGGAGGGTGAGCAGGTTTTGTTTGGGGGCAGGAAGATGGAGGGTGTTCCCACTGGTAGCTCTCACTTTCTGTGGGCCTGGCGCTTGGCTGTGGTGAGTAGAGTGGAAAAGGTTTCTATAGCAACTGGGGAGCAGA